AGTTTTGGGTGACCCCATTGAGAGCATCTAACAGAGAAACGTAAGGTTTGCTTGGCAGTGCATGAAGCATGGCGAAAGGTGACATGCCTGAGGACCTATGTAGGCGCCAGGATCGAATCGAAGCTGCATAAAAGCGGTATCTGTCACGTGGAATGCATGGACAGGGTTGTCATGTGGTGTCTGTGATGAGGGATCACGTGGCTACCTATATACGACCAAAGGAAGGTTGGCTGAAGAGTTCACCACGTCTGAAGATGATGAAGTCATCACTAGGAATCTTGAGTAGTTGTGTTCTTAATCTCAGGTGAGGAGATTGCCCATCCTTCTCCCTGGGAGCAGCTGGTGGATTCGAACCGGAGATACAGCGCAGCTTCTTTTTACTAGGCTAGCAGAGCTCCCTAAGGACCTTGAGTAGGGAGATGTATATTAAATAGAACACGAGGGCAAGCCTTTCAGTGTATTTACAATTCATGTAAGACAGCTCCCAAGATGTAGAGCCCTGAGGAAAAGATGGAGATACAGATGCAGTAAGGAAAATGGAGAGAGGAGAAGAGGTTGGTCTCTGTGCTTGTTTCTGGGTGAGATGTGAAGACCAAGACCAATGGGTGTCTTCTTGTTTGGTGGGGGTTGTCAGTGGAAAACATCGGACTGGACCAAGTGGTCATCTTTGGATCCAGTTCTGATGACATGTCAGGATGGAGTCAGAGCTCTTGCCAAGTCATTATAGCTTTGGGCTGGTAGATATGAGCAGAAGAATCACTATACCAGCAGTCTTTAATATTTAGTACACTGTGTCCCAAACATTGATAAATATGTAAATCACTTGGGGATCTTGTTAACATGCTTAATCAGCATGAGGTGGGGTGTAATATGTATTTCTAACAAGCTCCCAAGGGTGCTGCGGTGGCTTAGTGGTAAAGAGTTGCTCTGTCAATCCAAAGGCACCTGGTTCAAATCCACCAGTTGCTCTTCAGGAGAAAAACATGCATTCTCCTCCCATGCTATTTACTACCTCAGAAAACCCACTAGTGGCACAGTTATGAGTCACTTCAGACTTGCTAGTACACAACAAACAACAGCAAGCTCTCTGGTGATGCTAATGCTATTGGTCTGTAAACTGTTAATAGTGGCTCTGACTAGTAGATCTTTCTACAATGGCAAACATTTAATTGTTAACAGAATGCTTTCCTTTCCTAAATATTAACTCACTGGAGTTGCTTCACGACTCTTCTACAAATGAGAAAACTGAGTTTCAATGAAATTAGTTACAGTGCACATTGTTGTTGTATCCTGTGCTTTTGGAACCTCTCCGTAGCTCGCCCTCCAGCTAGTTTTCAGAGGCAGTAAATCGCACAGAAGACAGCATGTCGCCCTAGTCCCAGTAAATCTAACTACTAGTGTTCTTTCTATTGTGACACCACTCTCTTTCAAGTCAGCATCTTATCTCAGAACTTAGTATTACTGATTTGTATTTACTGTTTAGTAAATGTGAAAGGAGAGATGGGCATACCTGAGTCAGTTCATCCCTCCCCACCAGTTGGGATGGCTTCTGACATCTTAAGTGGCGATTCCTAGACAAAATGTTTGCTAATCCTGACTGTCAGCTGGGTCAGCACAGGAAAGCTCTTCAGCTTTGTGTCTGAGCAGTGTTCAAAGCTGGGAGAAAATCTAGAATTAGAGTTGTGCAGATAAAAAGAAATCAGGCTCCCTGAGTTGAGGTTGAAGGAAGTTGGCATAGCAGTATCTGCATAGAGGATTTTCTGAAAGAGGAACTGGTTTGATATTTCAGCAGGAATTTAAGAAGAGGTTATAACAAAGAGCAGGCCTACATTTAAGAGCAGCCTCCACTCAGTAGAGGGTACTGGTAATCGCAATGCATTTCTCTTTCCAGCTGGAGTAGCTTATTTTTTTGAGGCATGACCTTTAGTAGTTTTCTTTTGTCGCCATGGTGATGATGGGACTCTCCTGCCCCAGAAATTCCCCTCTCCTTTAAGGGAATTTGATATAGACTGGTTTGTGTGAGAGATGAGGAAAGGGTTGGGGATACTGGATCCTTCTTTGTCATTGTCATGAAGAGTTGTTGGTCTGCTATGTTTTAGCTCAATGAGTGAGAAGGTACACATAGAACCAGGATCTTGAATGAAATCCATTACTGCTCTGTGACACTCAGTTGTTTTGCCCTTCTGCCCTGCTTAGCACGTGAGCCTAGTAAGAGGCCCCCAGCTTGAGCCTTGCTGTTTTTGTCCTGTCACAACAACATGCCTGTTCAGCTGCTTGTCTTAGCCACTCCACACACGCACTGCAAAAGCAGATGCAATTCTAGGTTTGTCCAGCACAAAGCTAAAAAAAATCCCTGGCCTCCTGCAGAGCCATGAGCTTCTGCTTCACCTTTAAGTGGCTTTAGACCAAAGAGAACGATTTGTTTTGGAACTGTTCAGCTCCCAAGGGGATGAAGACATGGTGGTGGAGAGGAGAAACCTTGGCTCACATCCTTCCTTCACCACTACCCTGATGCATGCCTGTTACTTTTAACCTACTTGACCTTCTATTTATTCATTTGTTGAAACTGTCTAACAGTATGTACACAGGTTAATTGTAAAGATTACATGTGCTAATAGATGTCCAATAAATCTTAGGGTCTCTGTATCCCTCCTCAGCTCACAGTGCTATTGAAAACATGACCGTGGAGGTATTGAATGATAAACTCTCTAGGATGGAAACATCGTGTTACTATCTCCCACCATCTCTTGAAAGGTTGAAGAGAAGTTTGTCCTAATGGATTTGGTGGGTGTCTTAGGCTGAAGCTGGGAGTTGGGGATACCTTCATGCACGGCAGTGGCTCATCTGTGCTTCGGGGGTCAGCTGTTCTCCTGACTGCAGAAACTAACCTCACCTTTAGCTCAGTTTCCTCAGCTCAGATTCTCCAATCTACTCAACCTACATAATTTCTGTTTTCTCAGTTCCAACCTTTTGTTCTCTCCCTTTCACTGTCTACACATACTCCTTCTCCCTTTCCAGGGATCCTGTCATGTTTACCTGTATCTGACCCCTGCTTCACCTTGAGGAAAACTTCAGCTCTCATGTACTCAATTTGCACTGCAGGTAACCCGTACTTTTTATGACAGTAATGTAGTTGAGGACAGAGATTTCTGAAAAGTTGTCCTTGCTCTTACACTGCCTTCCATAGTCAAACTGAGGGCAGTTCTCATGGAATAGAAGCTACCCGAAGCCTGTGTTGCGAAGTTTGGTTGAAGGTGGTTGAGGACAGACCTGTGTAAGCATCGCTCTGAGGTGTGTCATAGTACTGGCACTGGGCTTGCTGGTGTAGAGCATTATAGCTCTCTAGAGTTGACCCTGAGATGTGGCTGCCTCTTTTTCTAGCCCTAAGAGAATTTGCTTAAAGTTGGGAACCTTTTATTACCTACCTCCTTGAATATAATGAGTCACTTCCCCCTCTACCTGATAAATTTCCAATATACCATAGAACAAGGGTAAGTTACCATGAAATGTATCTAATATATGATGTCTTTTGGTTGGCACTTCCTAAGTTGGAAAGTGATTCGTTTTATTTGAAATTTCAAGTAATGAATATAGTTATTGTGAAGGTTGCATGTACATTAATTTGCCCTCATTTCTTTATCTCTGTATTTTATATCCATTCCCCAGAGTGATACGATTTCCTTCAACAATGAGATGCTTAAAGGCAAAGTCTTTATATTACTTGAGGTTGTGGTTTATCTGCTTAGGGATGGAAAGGGTCAACCATGTCCTCTACCATGTAGTTCTCAAGTCCTCACAGGAAAACCACTTACTCTCAGGAGGTTCTTTTCTGTTCTCCTTTGGTGTGAGTTATCTAATAACCAAAGAAAGGACTCTGACCTTTGGCCTGTACTTAGCTTTCTGACTTAGCTTTCTTTTCACTGGAGAGAGAGGAGGTGACGGGGGTGCCCTCTGGCGTGAAAGTCCCACTTATCCTTTTCTCCACACTTTATCCTAATATACGCTGGAGAGAATATGAGAAGCATAGGTCAGGAGACCCCAGAAGGGCCAACACCCGAAACCAGAAATAAAGTGATAATAAAGAGTCAGATGATAAATGGTGCTAAGAGGATGCCTAGGGTAAAAGGCCAAAAATGGTGGTGCTTCCGTGAGCCTGCTCAGTGTCACTTACATTTAAAGGCCCTCCCTGCATTCTGTTAGATGGTTAGTTTTCCTGCACCTTCCTCAGCTCTGCCTGGGTCAGCCAGAGGTGAGTGATCCTTGCCCAGAGCTGTACTATCAGGGTGCGGGCAGAGGACTGAGAGTAGATGCTCTTAAAGGAGGAGGTAAAGGAGCCAGGTGGTCACTGAGGTGAGAAACTATTTCTTTCTTTTTTAAAAATTTTATTTTATTATTTTTGTGTGTGTGTACCGTCAAATCAGATCTGACTGGTCCAGGAGGAGATTGTCCCTCCTTCTCCAGCAGAGCATCTGGTGGATTTGAACTGCAAACCTCTGGGATTGCAGTGCAGCTTCTTGCCACTAGGCCACCAGAACTCCCTGAGAAACTACTTTTTTTAAAAAAATTATTCTATTTTGTGTGTGTGTGTGTGTGTGTGTGTGTGTGTGTGTGTGTGTGTGTTTGTGTGTACGGTCAAATCGGATCTGACTGGCACAGGAGGAGATTGTCCCTCCTTACCCGGCAGAGCATCTGGTGGATTTGAACTGTGTGCCTCTGGTATTGCAGTGCAGCTTCTTGCCACTAGGCCACCAGAGCTCCCCTGAGAAACTACTTCTTGATGAGGGGACCCGAGTTGGGAAGTACTGGTTGGGGGGTAACATCCTAATCTAAGAAGGAAGACTCTGGTGGGGTTTGGAAGAGCCAGGCTGGTTGAATTCTAAGCTATAAGGGTGAGTGCCCCAGGAGATGATGGTCTAGACAGAAGGAGAAGAAGAAAGGCAAAGTCCTGACCTCTTCCTCACATCTCTGCACCTATTCAAATCCCCTTGCCTGCAGGTACAATGGAGGACAAACGCAACATCCAGATCATTGAATGGGAACACCTGGACAAGAAGAAGTTCTACGTCTTTGGAGTGGCAATGACAATGATGATCCGTGTCAGCGTCTACCCATTCACCCTCATCCGTACCCTACTGCAGGTTCAGAAGGGCAAGAGCCTTTACCAGGGGACATTTGACGCCTTCATCAAGATTCTCCGGGCAGATGGGGTGACCGGTCTGTACCGGGGTTTCCTGGTCAACACCTTCACCCTCATCTCTGGCCAATGCTATGTCACCACTTATGAGCTCACTCGGAAGTTTGTATCTGACTACAGCCAGAGTAACACAGTCAAATCACTGGTGGCAGGTGGCTCAGCCTCCCTGGTGGCCCAGAGCATCACGGTACCCATTGATGTGGTTTCCCAGCATCTGATGATGCAGCGCAAGGGGGAAAAAATGGGTCGCTTCCAGGTGCATGGGAATGCAGAGGGACAAAGAGTGGTTGCTTTTGGCCAAACCAAGGACATCATCAGGCAGATCCTACAAACTGATGGGCCTCGAGGCTTCTACCGAGGCTATGTGGCTTCACTGCTCACCTACATCCCAAATAGTGCTGTCTGGTGGCCCTTCTATCACTTTTATGCAGGTAAGTGGTGTTCCAGAGAGGGATGCGAGGGCCGAGCTTGTGAATGTAGCTGAGATGCTGTGGCTCTATGCATGTTGCAGAAAGGCAAGATTTAATGGCAGAAGGAGAGAGTGAACTGTTCACTCATTAAATTTTTATTGTTATATGCAAAGAAGGTTCAAAGATTAATAAGGCCTGGTTTTTGCCTTCATCGAGTTTGTAGTAAAGTAGAAGGGGTACCATAAAAATAAAACAAACCCACTGTTAAGTCATTTCTGAGTCTTAGTGACTCTGTTGTTAGTTGTTATATGTTGTTGAGTCAGAACCGAATTGCACAGGAGGAGATTTTGTGTCCATCTCTCGTGGAGCAGTTGGTGGATTCGAACCACATTCCTTTGGGATTGCAGTGCAGCTTTGTAACCACTAGGCCGCCAGAGACTTTATAGGATGGAAAAAACCCTGTTCTTTAGGGTTTCTGAGACTGTAAATCTGTCTCCTGCAGAGTGACCGGTGAGTTTGAACAACTGGCGTTTAGATTAAGTTGATTCTGATGCATAGCAACACAGTGAACAGAGTAGAACTGCCCATAAGGGTTTCAAGGCTGTGAATCTTTATAGATGCAGGCTACTTCTTTTTTCTCTTTAGAGTGGCTGGTGAGTTCTAACTGCTGCTGGGTTATCAGCTGAAATATTTAGCTGCTATAGCACGAGGGATTCTTTGTAGGGGCAGTAAGGCAGTTAAACAGGTAACGATGGATAGAACAGTTCTAGATGCTCTTGGTACATTAGAATCAACTAAGGTTAGTTAGAGTATTGACCAAGAATTGGAAGGTGGAGAGATTAAAACCCATGGACTGTTTGGCTCCTAGTGAGCTTTTGAGTTTGATGCCTTTCCTCAACATTGTTAAATTTAAAGTCAGTTATAACCTTGAACTTCTCTTCTTATAATGCATCTCGTTTATAAAACATTTTACTTGTCTTAAGCATTTCCTAGATATGGAGTTACTGGATCAGAAGAAAGCATTAAGGGCCTTGATAAGCATATTTTCAGATTTGCTTTTGAAAGGACAGAACACATTGTCAAGAATAGACGTTTTCAGGTCACTACTACAGTCTTTGCTGCAGACTCCTTACTCTTCACAGTAGGCAGTCTTTCTGAGCCTATCTAAAACTTTTCAGATCATACTTTGTCATGATTTCCTGGCTTTGCAATTATTCCGTTTCTGTGGTTCTGTGCTTTTTTCATACTCCTTTTTTTCTGATTATACCTTTGTGAAGATGCATGGCAGAGGCCTCCAACTTCACACGGTGCAAGGAGGATCAAGATCAACAGCTCAAGGCTGATTCCTGAGAGGCTCAGGTCAGACATACTTCCCTTCTCCAATCTTGTTACCATTTCTGACACTAGCTTTTCCACACATGGTACTCTCTGTTTCCCTGCTGGGATTCAGAAATCATTGCAGTGGGTACACAGAACTCAGATTATACTCTCAATTATTGGCCTTTTTAGAGAAGTAATAGATTACTAGTTAGGATCAGAAGTGACCCAGGGTACAGTTCTTCAATCAAGATAGCTTCATCTCAGGGAGCTCTGGTATCCTACTAGCAAGAAGCTGCATTGCAATCCCTAAGGCACGTGGTTTGAGGCCACCTGCTGCTGCTTGGGAGAAGAATGAGCAATCTCCTCCCAGGCTCTGGGTCGTTTCTGACTCTGTGCTACACAACAAGATAGCTTCATCTCATCCTTGCCCATAGGCACACCTCTCTTGAACAAGTGTTACAAAGTCTTTAGGATAACCCACTCCACCATCAAAGTCTCAAAGGATGTCAAAATGAACCAGTCCCCTCATTAGGGTTCTATATATCTTATTTGCATGTTCCATCCCTGTAAGTCCTTGGAAAAGTAAAGGTCAGTGAAGGAGAGGAAATCTCTCGGTGAAATGGCTTGTCACAATGACTGCAGCAATGGGCTTATGCACATTGGAGGTTGTGAGAACGGTGCAGGCTCATGTGAGTTTTTTTTGTTTGTTTGTTTTTATTAGCACAAACACATTTATTTACTAACCAAGGAGATGATTCTACTTAAACCAACACTTTGAAATAGCTGCATGTAAAATGTTTGTGGCAGAAAGAAATGAACACAGTAGTGGGGAAAAAACCAACAAAATAAAGAAGCGGTATGGGGATCTGCTCATTGAACTGAGCTTGTTCATTCTTATAACTAATTCCTTTCCAAAGCAAAGATGGAATTTTCTACTTTTTCATAGATCCGAGTGCAGGTGACATTGTTCATAACACATTCCACCACTAATTTCCCATCTTCCAACTTTCTGGTGATTGTGCTCTCCTTCCCATCCCACTCCTGGCGCTGAACCAAGGCACCATCGGTAAAGTTGCAGACACTCTGAGTTTTTCTGCCATCAGCTGTAGTTTCTTCAAACTTTTCTCCCAGGTTACAGGAGAATTGTGTTGTTTTCAAGGTGCTTTTGGTTTTCACGGTGAGGGCTTTGCCATCAGAAGTGATGATACAATCTGGCTTGGCCATTGCGCGCATTTTCCGCAGAGCCATTCCCACTCCCAGTTCCTTCATGTACTTGTCAAAGCCTTTGCTGTCTACCAGGCGCCATCTTCCTACCAGCTGCTGAACGGTGGCCATGATGGGTGCTGAGCGGAGGGTGTGCAGAGGAGGCAGACGAGGGCTGGGCGCGTCAGGAGAGCGCAGCATTCATGTGGGGTTTTGATCAGTTGCACTACAGTCACTGTGAGTCAGAGTGAACTTGATGTCAGCTAACAACAGCAACATCCCACGAGTGTGCCAGGCCCCTTCTTAGGTCATTAGCAAGCTGTCCGGTCTCCTTAGTGGGCCTCCTGTACCTCAGCTGTAGAGTCCTTCTTAGTCATTTGATGAGAGTTAACAAACCATGACTACTACTTTTTACTGTGTACCATCGAGTTGAAACTGACCTTCCAGCAGGTTTTCATTGGCAGTTTATCGCATGAGAGTTAGATTAGATTACCCATCTTTCTTCCATGGAGCACCTGGCAGATTCAAATCTTATGCACAATTCCTTACTTCTAGGCCACTGTTTACTATACTGCATGCCATCCCATGGCCCTTCTTTCTTACCGGATGGACTATGTTTCATCTCACGATCATTTTACCAGTCCAAACAGTCACTGACAGTCTTTCATTAAGGGTGAGATTACTCAACACACCATCTAATCTGTTGACATTCTTCAAAATTTGTCTTCACTCTTTCTGGGGAGCTCTGGTGTCACTTTTTATAGCTTCTCATAAAATTTAACTGAAAGAAAATTATTTTTCCATTGCTCCGAGCCTCAGAGATAACAGCATAGCAAAACTATAGCAAAAGGGACTTTAGGTTTGGCCCCTGTACTCTAGTACGTAAGTGCCTCCCCTGTCGTCTTCTTCAAACAGTTACCCAAACTCCTTACCTCTACGTCAGAATCAACTCAGCAACTCCAGTGGGTTTTCAGGAGGCTGCAAATCACGTATCTTTATCCCTTGAAGTTGTTAGTGGATTTGAACTGCCAGAGAGGCTCTGCCTTTGGGTAAGCAGCTCAACCGCCTATGAACTGCACCACCAGAGCTAGAGCTGCCTTTTACAATAGTTACAGCTTTTATGATTATAATTAATACTGTTAGCAATCACTGCTGACTCATATAAACATATCAATCTGCATTTTCTCAGACCCATTAGGAAAAGAGGACACAATTCAGTGCAGATCCTCCCTTTCCTTTTGAAGCTAAGCAAACCCTTGAACGTGTGTAAGCCAGCTACTTCATAGATTTATCTGCACCCATTTTTAGATAGCCAGTATTTGAAATTGTCTCTTTCAAACCAGTGTTCTGACACAAGCATGTCCCTTGATCTTTAAAGACTCTTCTATATGTTTGGAGTTTTGAACATCTGCAAAGTCAGATCTAGAGCAGATCGTCAGATGGCAACAGTCTGCATCAGCTCACAATGTCAGACATCGTTTTCTTCATTTGTTTGAGTTTTGGTCAGCTCATCCTTGCCCCAGGGAATCGGTCAGTGAGTACCAGCTGTAGGCTCACAAGGCCACACACAGCTGCTCTGCCAGCCAGCCGCTCTTCTCTTGCTGTCTAATCCCTAAACTTTCTGGGTTTGGTCAGCAGGTACAGTGGAATGTGTTCTAACTTATGCTGTGTCTTCCCCACTTCTGTCATTGAGTGGAACCAAGTTGTCACCACAAGCAGGCATATCAGGCTTTCTTTTTACTTGCTGGCTCCCTTTAAGTGCTATTCCAAAAAGAAGGGTCTTCTAAAAAGGCTTGAAATTTATAAGTAAAACAGTCTATCTCTCCTTTTTAATTCAGTTCCTTCTTTCAAATGCAAATTTTCTGTTCTCTCAAGAGTTCTGGGAGGTGCTTAAGTTTTCTACATAATCTCTCAATGAAGTTCTAAGCTTCCAGGAGCCCCCTTTATGACCAGCATAGGCCTCTAACTATATATACAGGGTTTCTGGGTTGAAGCATACAGGCTACTTCCTTTTAGCATATCTAATCAGTATAATTGGCTGAAGATGAAATTACATATTCCCTGTTTTCTACAATACCTAATATTCACTCCCATGAGATATTTAGGTCTGTTTTACAATACTGTTGTTGTGTACTGTTGAATTGGAAATGGCTCATCACTGACCATCCAGTGGGTTTTCAGAGGCAGTAAACGCATGGAAGAGATTGCCTGCCCATCTTTATCCCAAGGTTCAGCTGGTGGATTCGAACTGTGTTCCTTTGGTTGGCAGTACAACTCCTTACTGTTCAGCCACCAGAGCTCCCATTTATAACACTAGGTAGAAAGAACATCCCATATCCTTGGAATAGTCAAATAAACACTTTCTTAAAATCTTCTATTTTCATCTCTTCATTCCTTGACTGCCTGTCCTTCATTCTAAACTATTGCTTTCTTCCGACTTTACATGTCAATGGTCTTGTCCTCTGAGTCACTGAGGCTTGAAGCTTGTTGTTTGACAACTTCCTCCTCCTCTTCCTCCCCTCATCTACTTCTGGTTAGGACAGGCTGCCTTTCCCAACTTTCTCTTAATTTCTTCTGCCTTCCCTGGAAACCGTGCCTCTGGAACCTCCTTCCAGAAGTGCTACATCCGCCTTCTAGCTGCTGTGTGGGTGCAAGCTCTCTTCTTTACCACACACCAGGCATATCCTTAATAGATTAATTAATAATTGTGAAGTTCCTGCTGTGCATGTAAGAAAATCCAAATTCTTCAAGCTTCCCTTTCCAGTGAAATGTTTCTACAGCTCTGTTATGCACAGCTTTGGCTGCAGCCAGTGCAGGTTCCTCACATGCGTTCCTCAGTCATGGGTCTCTCCCACCTCTGTGCCTTCCTTATGCCAGCCCTCTACCTGGTATGCCTTCCAGATCCATGTATCGCTGGTGAAACCATGGCTTGCCTTCAGTCCTCCTTGCTTCATCCTCTCCCTTAACCCACAAGTGACCTTTCCCTTCTTTCCACTCTCTTGGGTTTTGTATGGGTTTTTCCTCCTCCAATCTTTCTTTATGCAATTGTAACATTTTGCCTTAATATCATCTGTGTCCTTGGATGGAGGAGACTAGTATTTATTGAATGCCTTCTGTTGCTAGGCTTTGTATTAAGACCTTGTATCTCTCATTATTCTCAGAACAACCCTGTGATGTTGGTGTCTTCACAGGATACCGTCCCTGACATCCCAGTCTAGACCTGGTTCCTTTTTATATGTTCTCATAAATCCACTTATCTTTATCTTATTACTTATCTTTTAGAACACTTTTAGAACACTTAGCTGAATTTGTAAAGATGCATTGATTGGTATGATTATTAAGTTAGTGTCTCTTCCTTTACTAGACTGCAGCTCTAGGGTCTGTGTCTGTTTTTAACCACTGTTGTACCTGATGAAGTGTAAGTGCTCAGTAAATATTTATGGAATGAGTAGATTGGGTCTTGTCATTCTCTTGCTTAACAATCTGCCAGCGCTGCCTGCCCTATGGACACTTAGAATCAAATTCTGTTTCCTACTGATGGTCTACACAGCTCTTCGTGATCGGGCTCCTGTCTGCCTTCTCTAGCCCCATCTCGTGGTTCTCACCCCTTGCTCACCCTTGCCCACCCTCTCCCATTCTCAGTTTCTGCTGCACACCAGGCTGTTCCCACTTTGCAGACAATGTCCTTGCTCCTCTGAAGACTCTCTCCCCTGCTCTTTGTGTAGCAGATGCTTCCTTACACACCAGGCCTCAGCTTATATGTCATCTGAGCAGAGACTCTTTAACCACGCTCTTAGAAAGAACACTCTTTTTGTTTTCTCTTCCAGGCCTTGTTTCCTTAGACCATTTGTTAGAATTTGCAATTATTATACCTCTGACTCTCACCTCTCAATTAGAATGTAAGTTCCATGAAGGCATCTCTGTTTTGTGCCTAGTACTTAATCTCTGTGCCTGGCATCCATTATTACCTTCAATAACAAAAAAACCCCAAGCCCACTGTCAATGAATGGATCATAACTTGTAGTGACCCTGTAAGAAGATAATGGAACTGTCCCTAGGGTTACAAAAGCTGCAGATCTTTGCAGAATCAGACTCTCATCATTCTCCCACAGAGCAGCTGGTGGTAAGTTTGAACCACTGATTTTTTAGTTAGCAGCCCAATATTTTTTACCCCCTGTGCCATTAAGGCTCCTTCATGTCTGTTACTTGCCTAAAGTTGTTTAGCCAAGAGGGACCTAAATCAAGGCTGACAGGTTTAGTCTTCTGGCTTGCAGACAATTAGGTTCTCAATAACATTTATTGAGCAGATAATAGAGAAGAAAGAAGCATATTGGGGTTCTTCCACCTACCCTCTTTTATTTGATTTTTCGTCTTTACCCCAGGCCCCAGGAAAATGGCATGTCTGCATTATCAAAATTGTAAGAAATGGAACCTGTTGTAACTTGCAGTCCTAGGACCAGTGCAGACAGGCCCCAGGGGCTGGAAGTGCCAATCCAGACTCGACCTTCTAATGATTGCAAAATGTCCCCTTTTCAGGAGAAACAGGACACCAGTAAGGCGTAGTCACCAGGCTGTTGGCATCTGTTTGTGTCCTTACCCTAAGGATGAAAGCAATTAGAAACTGAGGGCGAAGTGGTTCTGCCCAGGCTTAAGGAATCCTGCCAGGTCTGCTGGGACCTAGAGGTCCTCACTTCTGCCCTGCAACCCCAACCGCCATTTCTCTCCTAGTGTAAACTAGCAACAATAGGAGCAGAAGTGGAAAGATTAAAGTTATCACTTTAATAACTCGACTGAAGAAGTAAAAAACCAAAAAATGTTTGAAAGGATGAATCTGCTTCACATCACACTCAGTAAAAGCCAGTGTTTTTACTTCTAGGGCCTCATCCCCTGTCCCTGCCTTCACGTGCCAGGGATGCTGTCCTTGCTGCCTCTTTGAGCACCTCAGGCAGTGTCCTGCTGCAGGGTCTTTGTTATGGTGTTACCTTTGATTGGAAGCTCTTCTCCCAGATCTCCCAAATTTTTGCTCAGATATCACCAATTTTGGAGAGACCTTCCATGACTGGGAGTCCCGGAGGCATAGACTGCAGCTAACTAGAAGGCCACACCTCTCTGGCATTTCACATCTACCAGCTGCTCCATAGGAGAAGGATGTGCTTCTCCTGTGTGATTGATTGCCTCTGAAAACCTGCTGAAGGGGTAGCTGTGGGTCTTTTCTGACTCCATAGCCCACAGCAACAACAAAAACAAGCAGCTCCAAGCAAGGGCAATCTCCTCCCATGAAAAGCATAACCTTCAAAATCCAGAGGAGGGTCACCTCTGACTTGAGAGTGAGTTTGAGTTTAAATTTTTTTCCATGACCACCTTGTTTATATTGGCAACACCTCTCCTCCCTTCCAGTGACTCTCCTGTATCTCGCGCCTGCTTCATTCTTGTCTATAGCATTCTTATCTATAGCACATATAACTTGTCTATAGCACATATTACTGTATACTTTTTGTTTATCACCCATCTTCCCCAAGACTGACAATTCCTACCCTTATGTAAATTTTGGAAGAACAGGATTTGAGGCTATTTTATTCATTATTATCCTGGACCTAGGGTGACTGGCCTGTGTTGATCACTCTGTATACCTTTGTTCAGTATGTAGATGTAACCCCAGAGAGGTTAAAGCAAACAAATTGCAGGTGGACTTCGTAGTGATATTGTGAGTGGGTGAACTTGAGTACCATTTCATCATCTTCAAGAGCACCTAGAAAAATTGGGGTTTTTCCTCTTCATTTAGGCTGGAGAAATAACTCACTTCTGAATATGACTTTCCCTTTGTATTGTAAATTTTTAAAATATTTGTGAACATATGTGAATGGTTTAGAATGAAAAAGGTAGGGAAAGATATGCAATAAAGAGCCTCCTCATCCACCTGGGTCACCAGCTCCTTTCTTTAGCAACCACCAGACTAATTCACCACGTATATAAGCGAGTCTGCTGTGTAAGCTTTTCTTGCCTGAGGGTCTGGGAGAGTAAGAGGCATAAGGTGTTTTTATCAGGAAGAATTTTCTGTTCATCAAGTGAAAGGAACCAAAGACTCTTGACCACTTTAAAAGGGTGACATGTCCAAGATGACTGCTGGAAGGAACCTGATGGTTGGGGTTTGTTGTTTTTGTTTTTTTTGTTTTTGGTGGATGCAGATGGAAGATGAAAAAAGAAGGGAAAAAAAGAGGATGAATTTTGATGGCTAATGATGGGCATTTGGTTATTGTTAGGAATGCCACAAGCATAGTGAGGTTTGGGGCTAGTACCTCATGTCTTAAGACATTGGCTTTCTTCTGATTACAGAGCAGCTCTCACACCTCTGTCCTAAAGAGTGCCCTCACATTGTCTTCCAAGCCATCTCGGGGCCCTTGGCTGGGGCCACTGCCTCCATCCTTACCAATCCCATGGATGTCATCCGGACCCGTGTACAGGTAAGACCACTCTCTATTAGAGGACCCATAAGCATTTCACTGATCTCTTTGTCTCAGGAGCCTCTAGTCCAGACAGTCTTCTCTCTTGGTCACCCAAGTCCCTTCCTGTGGTTACTGCTCACTGTGTACAGAAACCATTTAAGCAGTTAGAAGCATTTAGAATGAATGCACTTCTTATCTCTGCTACTTTGCATGCATGCTTCGACTCCTTTATATAACCACCCCCCGCAGGACTCTTTACCAATTTCTTCCAGCCTGTCATTTTATCAGCAGAACCTATAAACCACCCTATCCTCACTTTGCAGGATTATGCTTACTCAAAAAAGCCATGTTGATTTCACAAATCTACTTTTTCTACTTGGCTCTGCGCCCTTTACACACAATGAGAGTAACTGTTCTTGTATGGCTTCTCAGGTTTCCATACTGTATGGTGTGGAGTCAGCAAAAGCACTGGGGGTGCAAAAGCCTTTGGTGGTGCTGAGATTAGAGCCCACCTGTCTTCAGTCAGCTCAGAGACTGACACCAGCTCCTAGACCAGGAGAGCAGGCTGTGCTGTGTAAAGATTTAGGCAGAAAGAAAGGGAGAATATGTGATTTGATAACATTAGCAAACTCTGAAGAACTGCAGCACAGAAACAATCACTGCTTAGTACAGATACTTCCCTGGGACTGCATCACCTTCACAAGGTGGTCATGCCCCTGTCTAAGGGCACCTCCCCACTCCTCCCTGCCCCCTCCTCACTCCCCTCTTCCTCTCCAGTACAAGTAGACCCTGACTTAGGACGTGGTTCTGCCCTGATGACTCTGTTATAAAAGTTAAATACCTCATTTTTGTTTGTTCTCATTATTGCTTTTTACTATCAGTAGCTTTAATAAAATCCAATCTTTGTCTTTGAGGGTTGGGCTAAAGATAATATTAGCAAATTCAATATTGTATGTATTGCATATTACAATAAAATGTACAAAAAGCACAAACCAAACCAGCCAGTTGTAGGCACAGTTTGTCATTACTTGAATGTCTTGTGAGTCAGGGACTGTCTTACTCCCCAAGTCCTCTCCCAGTTCACGTCTTGTTGGCTGCACTGGGGAAGAGTCTGGACTGAGGGAAATCTCTATTATTTTGTTTGACAGTGGACACAGGCTGTTGAGAGATGCCCTTGCCTTGTCAGGCTTCCAGTGTCTTGGAGAAGACAGGCCAGGGTGATCATGGGAGACAACTGGGCCAGAGGGAAGACTCTGACCCTAAGAGTCAAGAGAAATTAAGATGATGAGACTTAAAATCTTGGACTGGCATAGCTACAGAGGACTTTAGGGAAATTTAATCTCCAGCTTCCCTGAAATAAGAAAGGACCTATTCCAAAGAGTCAGAGCTACACAGCTTACTTAATGATATTTATAAAAGCCACAATTTATTGAACACTTTGCATCTATTTAGGCACTGTTTTCAACATTTATGAATATTCTTTTTGTTTAGTGATTTTATGTTTGAAGAAACTGCAAAGTTGTTACGTAAATTGTACACGAGGTTACTCTACTCTGCTAATTTGGGAAGCAGGATTCAAACCCCGGCCACCAGAGTCTGTGCTACAACAATGTGCTGGCTTTGTCCCTCAGAAGCAGTCAAAGTCCTTCTGATTCCCAAGTTCAGTCAGTTCTTTCACATCAGCCTAAGGCAGTGAGAGATTGAGCAGAAGGACTTTGACTGCAATTAATGGCTCTTCACTGTGTTGACTTTTTCAGGTTGAGGGCAAGAACTCCATCATTCTGACCTTCAGACAGCTGATGGCAGAGGAGGGGCCCTGGGGCCTCATGAAGGGCCTCTCAGCCAGAATAATCTCTGCCACGCCCTCCACCATTGTCATTGTGGTGGGCTATGAGAGCCTCAAGAAGCTCAGCTTGAGACCTGAGCTGGTGGATTCAAGACACTGGTAACCAGTGGGTGGACAGAAGCCGTTCTCCAAACTATTGAGTTGGGGCAGAGAGAGAAGGATAGCACCCTCTCCAGAGCCCCCACCCACCTTCAGCCCTGCCTTGAGCCAGGTGGCCTGACTGTGACAAGGACAGACACTTTGAACTGCTCTTGCCGAAGAGGTTCCAAACCTTGACTCCCTTGTCCCTACTGTTGTTAATTCTCTTGCCAAACTGGGCTCCCTCATTCAGTCTCTGTAGTCTCTCACCTTAAAGAAAGCCCCACCTGCCAGCCCTCCTGGCTTCCCCTTCCATTTGTGTCCCTGAGATCCTGACAAGAGCTGTACATAGAGCTTGTTTACTACCACTCATCTTCCTCTTGTGTTTACAGCCCATGTTCCAAGCAACTACCATCAGTCCTCTGCCACTTCATCGTTAAGGCTTGCTTATTTTCACCTTGTAGCAGAGCTGTCCACCATATTACTTTTCCCCTGCCTTTGGCACTAGGTGCCAGGCACTTTTCGCAGGGAGTAGAAGTAGGAAAAAACTGGTTCTCCAGAGAATTTGCCCTGACGCTGGAGGATTTGAGGAGAAATGTTGATACTTTATTTTGTGGGTTTTAGTCTTACTTTTTTAAATAACTTCTGTGAACCAGTATTGTTTTAGTCTTGTGAAAGTACCCATCCTGCAGTTAGAGCCCACCCCTTCCTCAGACAGATGAGAAATGTATTGTTTTTTCATCAGTCCCTGTCCTATCCCTTAAGTCTCAGGAGCCCTGGGATACTCACTATAAGCTGCTGGCTTCCCTGACCTAGATGACTGCAGTGGTGGGCACAGTTCTAAGTGGATTGGGCTGTTTGGGGCACTCTAGACTTGGAACACTTCCCCATAAAGGCATGATGAAAGAATAGCTGGTTTGGAAATTGATTAGAGATGGTGTGAGCCCAGCATCTCTCTTCCCAGGTCAGCTGAACCAAGACTAGGAGAGGGAAGTGGAAGAAGATCGGAGCTCCTGGCAGCTCTGGACAGAAATATGAAAACTCTAATCACTGGAGTCATGGAAACAAATGCTATTGCACAATGGGAATCTCAGATATGAAACAGTTTGTTTTTTGGGTTTTTTTTCTTCCCCCCTTCCCTGGATTTGAACCATTCTCCTAATCATGAGAAAAGTAAAGAATGAATCAGGAAGTCACCCATACCAGAACCACTACATTTACCAGCCTGATACTGCCGAGATATATCTGTTGACCCTCTCTTTGGAGCTGGGCGATGAGCTCTTCTTCATTCCCCAACTTGTGTTCCATGCAGAGAGATGTAGCAAATAGAGTAAGAAGGCATGTCAAAATGCTACGTTTCTACTTAAGATATCTGGCCTGGACAGTCCTTCAAACCTTATTGGTCCCACCCACAGGGAAAGGCCATGGTGCCAATTTGAAAGGTGCTAGTTCCCTGAAGCCTTGGTATTTCTGTGGCTGCCCTACATTTTCTCTCCCTGACAAGATATAAATTTGAAAAATTCTATTTCTATACTTTTATCATCTGCACTGCCCATCTTGGTCTCTCTTTGAGGATTTCTCCTGTTTTATTTTTGTCTTTTCCTGCACTTTATTATGAGAGTCCTCTAATTTTTATCCCTAAGAGGCCATCAAAATTGGCCCACAGATCATCCTCAATCTTCCTTCTCCTCAGCCATCCCTTTATCCTAAGAACTACTAGTTCAGTGGAAAACAGGAGGCCTTGCCTTCTTTCTTCATGCACTTAGCAGACTGATTCCTGGACCCATTTATTCTTTCTAGAGACTTGTCAATTCTACTCCACTATAGTAAAGTGGGTAAATGTGAATGAGAAAGTGGTCTCCTGCCTCTCATTTCTTAAGTGTTTCTCCCTTCCAGACTTTTGTTCTCCTGTACAGTCTATCAGTTTTTGTCTCATCATCTTTCTCACTGTTTTTAGGGGATAATATATGTATCATTAAGGAGGCTCCTTGGCCCCCACATTTTCATCTAATAAATTTAGGGACTGGGGATTGGATTTTATTAAAGTACATTTGGGGAAGAGCTGTTCAATGCGTAGAGAATAAGCATTCATTTTTCCAGCACCAGAGACCTGACCAGCTGGAATTTTTGATATATTGGTTCAGTCAAAACTGTAGGTGAAACTTTCGGAAGATGGCTCAACAATCTTGATGGGAGCATTGAGGACTGGGGAATGAAAATGCAGATGCATTTAGTTTAGCATTTGATAAAAGTAGACTCTTATGAACATTAACTGAATATTCACCGTTGTACTGTACAAAAATCTTTTAAGTGTAATTAAAAGTTTTTATTGAGCCCCTGCACTTTAGCTCCTTATTTGTTTTATCTGGGCTCCTGAGGAAGCGTCCAGAATTTACAACAGAATGCTCTTAAATGCTTCCGCCTCCAGTTTCCCAGCCTCTATGGGATACTCCGTTAACTCCAATCAGAGGCCCCCAGTGCCAGGCACACCCAATCAGGGGCCTCAGTGGGCGGGGCGAGCAGGCCAGTTAGATTTTTGGCGGTTCGATTTCAACATGGCTGAAGCGGTGGGTGGCAGTGATACGAGCAACCGCTCTGACGAAAATGGGCCTGAGGGTTCGTCCCCGAAACCTGTGCTCCCTGCCGCTACCGTCTCGAGAGTGAAGCTTGTCGACACGATGATAGCGACTTTCCTCCAAAAGCTGGTCGCTGCCGGGAGGTAAGGTGGAGGCGACGGAAAAGACAAACTCGTAGTGGGTGGCTAGAGAGCTCTGGTCCAGCCCACATCCCGCGAGATCAGGGCGGCCAGCCGATAGAGAGCTCGGTCACGTGAGCCGACCGAGGGCGGACTGATTTGGGGTTTTGACAGTGGCGGTCACCGAACGAGTGCTGTCAGGACTGGACCTAGGCAGGAGATGGACAGTGGGTTCCAGCGCTGCGTGAGTGACTTGTTGGATTCTAACCCTGTTCTAAGAGAACAACTTGGTAACGTTAGGTACCACGCCATCAGGGCTCCTGACGAAACCGTGTTATTTATCAGCACAGGTAACTTGTAGCAGACACAGGACCAAAACAAACAGAAAACGGAGCCGTTGTCATTGATTCCTACCCATAGGGGCTCCTGTATACCGTAAAGTTAGTTGGAAGCAGTTCTCCCGCAAAGCGGCTGGTGTGTAGGGTCCTCAGTATAGAAAACGTTAGAATGTTAACTAATATTGGAGAGCTCTGGTGATGGAGTGGGAAGGGGTTGAGCTTACAGCTTCTGAGTCACCTGAGTCATTTCCGACTGGACAGCACCCAACAACAACATAAACAATTATGTAACAATATTGAACATTTTAAAGGAAGAAAGTTGCCCAGCATGCTAACACATTTATGTTGAAACACTTTTACCAGAACTTCAAGGAGATTGTTGCCTTGACAGCAAGCCTCTTCTCCATCTAGCTTCTCCCTGCAATCCTTGTACTGTGACTTCATCAAGACATCTGTCTTCTAGTATTAGTCCCTTCTGTGTTGAGTGTTTTACCTTCCTACATAGACCATATGTGATCCCTCTCCTCTCTCAATGATTCACTCATCAAATATTTGAGTACCTACTCTGTGTCAGGGCTAGAGATAACTGTTCAGCATGTAAGACCCTTTTCCTATTGAAGTTTAAATTTGTTTTGGTAGAGACATACAGTGACCAAGAGAATCAGGGAGCTTGGTAAACTATTGAGCAGATGATGTATGTTAGCCAGTAGCTTAGGGGAAGGGAAACACAGGATAGAGTGGTTAGGGGAGCCCACTCTGATGAGGGGACATTTGAGCAGAAGCTTAAGGAATGAGAAGCCAGCTTTTTTAAAAACTGAAAGAGGACCTTATAGGCAAAAGGTATAGTCTGTGGCCCTGAGGTGGTCAAGATGTTCCAGGAACTGGCAGAGGCCTTGACTATGGGGAATGATTGGAGGAGGGTGAAAGAGAAGAGCTGAGCAGGCAGGTGACAGCCTAATGATACAGAATCTAGTTCACCACAGTAATGAGTAGGAAAACAGAATCTGTAATGGTTTTTACGAGCATTGGCATATGCCTAGGTAAGGCCCTTCTTGGTTTTTTGCCCCCTCCACTCTTATACTTGCCCCCTCCATCCTGTAGGCATCTAAGCTCCACTCCCTGCTGGCTCCATGGCCTCTGTTCATTTCTTCACAATACAGAAATGTAGTGACTGTGCGTGATTTGAATCCACCAGATGCTCTGCTGGAGAAGGAGGGACAGTCTCCTGTGTTTGTCATATCTGAATCAACGGTACACAGCAACGGGGGAAAAGTGTAGTGACCATCTACAATGTAGTAGGTCAGCTGTTCTGGAAGCTGGAGATAGAAGAATAATCAAAACGCACAAGATACCTGCTCTTGTGGAGCTAACATTCTAGTGCCAGAAAGAAAAAAGAATTGGGGCTAAAAAGAGGGAACAGGTTTAGTGTGAACATAAAGAACTTTTTTTTTTTTAGATATGACATTTGAATATATTTGTAAAATATATGGGTGTTTTTTTTTTGGGGGGGGCGGGTTTTCTTTGTATGTTTTTTAAAAGACCTGTCTGCGAACTGTTAGTACATGTGGTTCAGGATGTTTTGGTGCTGCTTATCATCCCAAGCTTTGCATTCACCACTTAACTCCATCCCTGTCATGTTCTCCTCGCTGCCTCCACCTCCCTCCTCCACAGATCGCCAGGGTGAATATCCTTGTATTCCCTCATGAGGAAGTACAGCTCGGATTTCTCTGAGGTGGATAACTGAGATAGGAATTGTTAGATTCCCAAGGTTTTCATCCATCTCCATTTTGTCAGATTACTTTCCAGGGAGTCATTTCAGTCCTTGTCTCCCACACACTCACCATCAGTGGGTATCAGGGATTGTCCCAGGAAGCAAGGTAAACTTGGGCTAACTCAGATGAAACAGTTCACTGTGGATTAGTTTAATTATTGCTTTTTAGGTACTCTGCCCTGCCAGGGACACAAATGTGAAAAAAGGCTTTGATTCTATAGGAAGGTAGTGTGGAGTTGGTATAGAGACACAGATGCCAGACATGCCTAGCAGCAGAATTTTGATGTGAAATTGCTCACTACAGATTAGTAACTACGCCCAAGTAAACTTGTGTTTACTTTGCTTACTGGATAGCCTGTCACTGCTGGGTATCCACCATTCTAGTACTTGCCCAACCGGTGTCTGAAAGGGTGTCTTATTACTCCTGTTTTAATTTGCATGTCCTTGCTTTGTCCTGGAGCTATGGGGCTTAGTGGCTAGAAGCTGTGCTGCAGTCTAGAAGGCATTCAGTTCAAGGCCACCATCTGCTCCACAGGAGAAGAAATAGATTTGGCTATTTCCTTACAGACTTGTTAGTCATTTGAGTTTTCCCTTTTGGCCGACTGCTTACTCATTTCCTTCAGCCTTCTCTTCCTGATGAAATTTTTTAAAGTTACATTAGATTTGTTTGTTTTTAATCTTAGTAAATTATTGGTGTCCCTTGTATAATCTAGAAATCAATTTCATATTGGTTTTATACTAAAGAAGCATCCCCCCCATGTTAGCTATTAACTTTGTCTATAGTCCCTTTTAGAAATTATTAATTAGGGGAGATTCAACAACATAGATTTTAATTGCAAATTACCCCCAGGATGAAATGGAAAGAGAAAGTCACTCCTGGAGGTCCCCTCATGAGCTCTGTGAATCATTGGGACTTTTTCCAGCTTTTGTACTAACTCACCATCCCATATACTAAATTTTCACTTTATTATTTAAATATTAAATTGCTAGATACTGCCTAATTTATTTCTAAAAAATCTTTCATTTTCATAAATTTACATGCTTCCCCCCCCTTCACTTTATAGCTTGTACTGTGACAGCTTATAAAGAGACTATGTATGCCCCACGCCTAGGTCACAAAGATGTTCTTTAGTATTTTCTTCTTTTAGCTGTTTTGTCATCTTATTTTTCCCTTAAAACCTTCATCTCTTCAGGTTAGGCATAAAGTGATAATCTCAGCCAGTCTAGTTTTTCCAGTGTTTTGTCAACAATCACTTTGTCCCTCCCTTTTGGTTTGGAGTTGTTGTTTATAGTAGAGTTGGAACTGACCCACAGCTGAACTAGTCAGAGGCAGTTAATAGCAAGGGAGGAGATGGCCCATTCTCCTGCAGAGCAACTGGTGGCCTCGAACCGCGTTCCTCTGGGTTTGCAGTGCAGCTTCTTGGCACTAGGCCATCAGAGTCCCTTCTATTGTATAGCCAAGCCTATCCCCCTGCATCCCTGGGTCTGCCTTCTGCCCCATGTATCTGCTTGCCTGTCCCTGTGCCAGTGCATTGTGTTATGTGCCATCGAGCTGATTTCTCACTCACGGGGGCCCCATGTGTTACAGAGCAGAAGAAGGTTTTCTTGGCTGTGGTCTTCACAGAAGCAGAGTGTGAAAATCTTTCGCCCAAGCTGGGTTAGAACCACCAACCCTTCTATTACCAGCCAAGTACTTAGCCCTTATGCCACCAGTCCCTTTTATATGCCAGTGCATGACCATTCTTAAAACATTTAATCTAGTACAGCAAGAGTCCCTCTTCTCTCTTCTCTTTAATTGCTCTAGCTATTTGTGGACCGTAATTTTTCCTTTCTAACTTTAGAATGAATTTGTCTGCTTCCTCTGAACATTCATGTGTAATTTTGGTTGGAATTGTACATTATTGTGGGGAGACTGACATCTCAACAATGATGTCATGCAACCACAAACATGATATAATCTATCCCTTTAGTCTCTCGTGTCTTTAAGTAGTTTCAAGGAACCGTAGTGGCATCGTGCTTAATTAGGAGAATGCTAACTGGCATGTTCAAAGCCACCCTACACAGAAAGACATTGCGATCTGCTTCTGTAAACATTTCATCTGGGAAGCCCTGTAGGGCAGTCCTGCTCTGCTCTGTGGGGTTGCTATGATACAACTGATTTAGCAGAAATTTAAAGTTCTTTGTAAAAAAACCTAATCATTCTTTGGCTCCCTACTTAGCTTCTGTTACTATTGTAAATAGTCTCTTATTTTCTGTTATCTTTTCAAATTAGATACTGATGATTTAGAGACACCATTGGCTTTTGTAAGATAATTTTGTATCTAGCAATTTTGTTCCAGTTTTGGTGGCATAAAAACCAAACAAAACTTTAATATGGTAAGTAAGGTAAACAGATATGGATAGGTGAACAGGACTCTATTGATGACCATATTAAGGTTGGAAGATTATAATGCATAATGTAACAAAGCCAGAGGAGGGCAAGGCTTTGTAAGCTTGTCAGCCATAACCGAGCACCTAGAGGGAATTCCTGGTTGTGGGGACTCAGGACCACAAGGTCACTTGGCCTAAATAGTCCAGAAAGATGTTTTCGATTCCTACTTTGGTGAGTCGTAACTGAAGTCTTAAAAACTTGCAAGCAAAAAAAAAAACAAAACTTGCGAGCAAAGAACATGGAAACAGCCCAAATGTTCATCAACAAATGTCTAGATTGAGAAACTCTAGTACATCACACAATGGAATACTATACTGCATCAATTACTAAGGAGCAGCAGATTCCAAAAAATACTGTATAATATGAGAGAAGCTAGAGATCATTATGCCGTGTAAACTAACTCAGGTACAGAAGGACAAATACTGCATAAGGACCACTATTGTAAAAACAGAAGGATAATCAGTGAGATGTGTGTAGAGATACA